TGTCCCCAGCTGCCCTAACGGACATGTTTAGCCATGGCTCATTTAAACAGCAGAGGAAAGGCCATCGAGATTGCCAACACCGGCCGCTGCACCGCCACGGCTCCTGCGTGGAGACCTCACTGTGACCAATGGCTCCCGACAAGCCCGCCGGCCTCCCTGCTGCCCCTCGGCGGACTGTGTCTCGATGATGACAGGCTGTGCTGAGCACGGAGCGGGTGGAGGGAGGCGAGGGTGAGCGGGACAGACCCCATGGGGCTGAGACCCCCCCCTTCCCTGTACATAACGAGAGAGATGGGTGGGAGGGGTCGGCAGAGAATCCCACTGGGGCGGAGTCGGCTCCTTCCAGCCCCGCCCCCGAGTTCCTAAGGGGACCCCTTCCTCCCGACACGCACACTCCAGGTTCCCGCCCAGCCTTCGACGATCTTCTGACTGTTAGGTGGCGACTGTGCTGTGGGACCCGCGCTGGGCCTCGTCTCGAGTGAGAGGCGTTTGCTGTGCGGCAGGGAAGGGAAATTGGGGCTCTCCCTCTTTCACTGCCTGGCTCCCCAGCCCCACCCACTCTCTACCGAGGGGCCGTGGTCTGATGAACAGCCCGGCTGGCTTCCAGCCAGCTAATGAATTCAGTGGGTCTGAGGCCGGGCCCGGTGTCAGCCCCCATCTCAAAACCTTGGACACGTTGCTACCCTCCTCCCGGCGTGTGCCCCAGAGACCCGGGTTTCCTTTCTGCCGCTCCCACCTCTGTTGTTTATCTCACTGGGCCCCTGGAGTTTGGGTCCCAGGGAGACCGCACCCCACACAGATGTCCCTCCCGTCCCTCCCCTCTTGCTCCCTGGCGCTGAGAGCTGCTGCCAGGGGGCCAGGGGCAGGACAGTGTCCCTCGGTCCTTTCTGAGGCCTCTGGGCAGCAGCCGCCTCCCCTGGCTTCTGGGAGGGCACTCCCTGCAGAGGGGGTGAGATCCCAGCCACGCAGCATTCCAGAAAGCTGGCCAAGGTGCATGGCTGAGCGGGGAGATTGGGAGGGGGACCTGAGTGACGGGGCGCTCTGGAAGCCGATGGGAGTCAGAGGAGAGGGCAGTGGAGGCGGATGAAAGGGGGTGGCCCACACATTGCCCCTGCAGGGCTGAGGACATTGTCACAAGTCCCAGTTGGAGAAACACTCAATTCCCGTGGCAGGTCAGAGCCAGGAATTCTCTAAATCTTGCCCGACCCCTTCCCCCTCCCCTATCCCGTGAGCTGAAGCAGCCCTGCTGTGTCCCAGGTTCTTCAAAGGGGCGTCCTGCCATCACCACCACAGGGCCCTGGCCCCACATCTGGTCCCCCCAGAGCTCTGATGTCGCCTTCACGCCCCACACTCACCCTTATGTGCTTCAGTGTGCATGTCGGTGTACAATCCTCCCACCCCCACCCTCCCAACTCTCCTGGCTAAAGTTTTCACAGTCAACTTAGGGCCTAGGGGTGGAGCTCATATTTCAAGCTCGAGAGGATAGCCCTTGGGCTGCCTGGCATTGCTCAGCCCTGATGCTTCTCACTTCTCCGGAGCCATCCGTCAGAGCTTCCTCCCCCCTCTGGCAGCCTCTCCCATCTCCCTCCAGCCAGGCCGGGCCTGCAGCCTCCATGGTGTGGCCTGCACCTATGCAACATCTCTGGCTCCCCTGCCCTCCTTTTCTGGGGGGAGCTTTGGAGGCACAGACTGTGGGGCACCACACTCTGTGGCCCACTGCGATTGGGCTTTATTTTCCCATGGAGAAGGCTGAATGGGAAGGGAGAGGGGGCCGAAGGGGAGGCTTGGGCAGGAGGGAACAGCTGCCATTATAATTCCCTGGGCAGCAGTGCCTGCCTGCCTGCCTGCCAGCACTGAACCCGCCTGGACCCTGAGTCTGTGCTCCTCGGGGGCCTGGCGGTCGGAGCACCCCTTTTTCCTCTGAGCAGACATCTGTGAGGTACAGATGGTGAGCTGTGGCCTCAGGCCCCAGTCCTCGGCCAGCTGGCATGTCTTGCCCTTGTGTGGCGGCAGCCCGACCCCCTCCTGGCTCCAAGGAGAGAGGAACTCAGCTCCTCCTCCCTCGCGCTCGTTTCTGAGACAGAGTCAAAGCTGGGAGGAGGTAAAGGGAGGCCCTATTACTACTTTTGCCTGGACTGACCATTTCTGCCCAGGTCTCACACAGCCTCACCTCCCACACACGCACAGACTTAGACACCAATTCTTTGGTCTATTTCCTTGGTAACTTTATTGATTGCCAGGGAAAAGGAAAACCAGAAAATTAATTACTCTCTAAAATTAAACTTTACACTGAATGTTCTTGTTCCTCTAATTAGAACCTCTGCTAGCAGCTGTGGCTATGTACACACACACACACACACACACACACACACACTCACCCTCACACCTACGCATTTGCACTCTGGAACTGTCAGAGGGTGTCGGGCACAGACAGACTCTAGGTTGCCCGGACAGGCACACATGTGCAGTCACTCCCAAGCCCCCTTTGGTGCTCTGCTCAGCGCCTGCTTGTTGGAAGGAGTCCCCAGAGAGCAGGCACCCTGAGGCTGTGGTGGCAGCCCATGGCCCACCCTTTGAAAACAGATCTGGGGGTTCTGGAGTCCCTCAGCCTGAGGAGGATGGGAGATGGGGCTCAGCCTGGAGCCATGAGTCAGGTCCTCGCGTGGCCCCCTGGGTGGATGTGGTTTCTATGGGCGTGGCAGTCACAGAGGGATGGGGTCTTCTGGAGGGCACCTGGAAGGCTTCATGTTTCCTGGGCACAAGGGCTTGTGGGGTGGGCGTGGCCTGGCTGGGAAGACAGGTCTCTGTCAATTGGGTGCATCACACTGTGGCCTTTCTGTCATGGATTTCCAAGCGCAAAGATTGTACAAATCAAACCGGTGGAAAATAAAGTTTCGGATGACTCACTGACTTCCCCTCCCAGCGTGGCACTTCCCCCACCGTCTCCCTCTCCCAGGAGAAGCTCTCTGGGGAGGCCCCGTTGAGTCCCTCCTGTCGCCTCTGTTTCCCCTTCCCAGGTTGTGGGGAAGGTTAGGGGATGTCGTGGTCTGTGGAACTGGGTTACTTAAGCAGAGTCAGGCAGTAGGGAGGTGGGATCTGCAGGGGCGGGGGTGGGAAGAGCCAGGCCAAAGTTCTGTTGTAGCAGGACTTGGGACAGGGAGAATGAGAGAGAGAGAGAGAGAGAGAG